AGAGCAATACCAACCTCGTGGATGATGCTTCGCAGAAATTAGAAACAGATGGTTACGATATATGAGCTTGCAAAATAAGCAAAGACAGATTATCTGAGCATTAAATTTAGTTAACGGAGAAAGCTAATGATGAATGCGAGAATAAATACGAATTTCTATTACATCAAAAAATAAAGTACTGAGGCCGCCATTATCTGTCGACCAGTAATTCCAGTAATAATCCCATCGCCTGGCCGGACAGGAAAATGGTAGTTTTTTCATGGATGACATCACGTAGCGCGTAAATATTGGAAATATGATTTTCTAGTCATAGAGGGAAATCTTCAAATCTGTCTTGACTTATATTCAAAAAATTAAGTAAACAATGTATTATTCAGAATCAAAAATTAGGCTCAATCATTATCATGAGACTTGGAAAGTCCCATAATTAGCCATCATATAGTCAGATTTCCAAAAAAAAACCTGTATAAAAGACTGCAATTTTGGGAAGAATGCAGAGATGTGATCAGGGCTAGAATCATTTAAAAAGTTTATGTTTGGCAATAATCAATTTTTCAATTTTTTGTTCAATTTTTCAATAAAATTTTGAATGCGGAATGATCAAAGAACCCTCAGCTAAATGGACTTGACATTGGTATGTTGTTTGTCTCCAACTATTTTTGAACTTTGTATGTACGTACTTTCGACAGATTGCTTTTCTACTTGCAATGAATCATTTTGAAGCTTCCCAAATTATCCCATTTCCCCTTCATAAATCATCTCTTTTCTCTCGCACTGGTACCTAAACTTCTCTCTTCCCAAAATTTCAAAATAAAAAAGCAATTCGCAGACCTTTGACAGACCATGAAAGTGAAACTCTAATTGATTTTGCTCTTGTAAACTCACGATGAAGTTTGGACTTGAGGCGACTTTAACCAAATCTGGATGGTTGTAACCCAGTGGCAAAGAAGAGATCTGTGTGTAGACATCTAGCATTGTGTTCCCTAAATTGGATAGTTTACACTTCTTGTTTTCCAAATTCCAATTACGAAGGAAATTGCTTGAAGATTGTGATATAAATATACCATCAGCATCGACTACATAGTTTCCGAATGACTTCTCGAAGTCCACGAACATCCGAACTGAGGTGGTTTGCTACAAAAAAAACTATATATGTGATATTCTTGCCCTTGTTTTCTTCTCATCCTCCTATCTTATTAGGTCTAAAATCTCCTTTATTCTAGCATACAGCGACGAGGGCAAACGCATCATTTCTACTGACATTTTGTTTCGTTTCTGTTTGCAAATCAGCCACGTATATCTCTTTTTTTCAGACTGAATATCAGTCTCTGACCAACGCGCAGCTGCTTCGCATTT